CTCACTCTCGGTGGTATCATGAATCGAGAATGAATCGCCATCTATTGATGTTCATTTGTAATGAATAATATTACTCAGGGAAAATAAAGTTCTGGATAGAGAGGTAAATCTCTCTCTCTCTCTCTCTCTCTCTCTCTCTCTCTCTTGTTCATCATGATGATATATTTACGATACAATTTACTAATGGAAATTGATATTATTAATACAACTGTACGTTATCCAGCAATTAAAAGTTAAACTTTACTCTTTAAATGCACCATCACCTCTGATGAAAATTTAATAACTTTAATCAATGAAAATTATTGTTTAAAGTATTTCATACAAACAAAAGTTAATTATAGAATCATGATAGTGTAAAATTTTAATTAATTGTGCTATTGATTTAAATTCAAGATGATTACCATAAAAGTATTACAAAAGAGAGAGAGAGAGAGAGAGAGAGAGATTATTAGATTAATTAAACTTTTGGATGCGAATCAATGTTTCACTTAACGAATTTATTTGTTTCCGTTTGAGTTCATTAGATTGATTATTAAAGTTGTTTCAGATTCTAACATGGAATGTACTGAGAAAATCAGGAGCTCGAGAAATAACATGTTGAAATTCAGCGAAAGATATTTTATCATCTTGATCGTTATCAGTTTCTTCCAGAACTTTTTCTCGAACCACCGAGATCTCCTCAGGTCCTAATTGATTCTTGGTTAAAGCGATTGCTGTTTGTTCAATGTCTTTACCTGAGATGAAATGATCATCATCATAATCTGTTGGTAGATATAAGATAATATTAATAATCGAACTCGAAATACGTTGTATTAAATATCGAAAGGAATTAATTCTTTTTTATTTACCATAGATTTTGAATGCATAATAGACTTTTATATCTCTTGGAGCACTTTCGCTGAAAACCGAAAGCATATCGAGAAAATCATCGAAATTCATATTACCCGAACCATCGTGAGAAAAAACTTTACATATTCGATTTCGAAAAGGATTTTACTTGAAAAAGAAAACGTAACAACAAAATGAGTTAGAATTTCTTGAACAGTTTGATTAGAACTTCAATAATTACCTTCAATTCTGACATTTTCTCAAATTTCGCCATAGGCAAAGATATTATTTGAGCTTCATCTCCAGTCATCACCTGAGGAACAACTTGTGGATAACTGACCAACGATTTGATGATTAGTTGATTTATTTTAATCTTTTTTTCATTGCTGTTAAATTGTTACTTGTTTTGAGTTGGCTAATTGTTGTAAATTGTTACTAATTTATTTCCTTTCAAGTTCAATTTGATTTATTTGATTGACTGATTATTTGAATCTCTCTTTTTTTTATATAATATCAACAATATAAATCACTTTGATTACTCATCTAATTGCTACACGGATAATTTTGATAGTAAGTTGTTAATTTTACATATGAGATAATCAACAGTTATCATAAACTAACTGGCTTGTTAACAATTTGAATGTTTCTAATCAGTTTATTATCCAAATCAAATCAAATTGTTAAAAATTATTTCACCTTCATTTTAAATTGTTTCTTCTTCTTTTCTAATAACTTTAATTTTCTAATTTTCAGTGAGTTAATCAAGTAATTAGTTCTCTTCTTGAACAGTCAACAATTTAATAATACACTTCTTTGAGACAAAGGTAAATCATATGATACAATAATCAATTAATTCATTGCCAAGATCAATGAAACAGCTTCAAAATCATCAATCAATTTAGATTATCAAACAATCAAAACAAAAGAAAACTAGATGAGTCAATCAACAATCAACCATGGGTGATACATAGCCAAACATCATAGATAATCAAGTTTAATTATCAGATTAATTCGGTTATAACCCTTAATGTTTCCTCTCAGGAAAATCTTAATGAACTTTCTCAGTCTGATTGAAAATAAATCATTGACTTATTAGCTCAAAGTGACTAATTATCGTTCAATTGAAAACCAGAAAATTGAAAAACAGTGAAATCTATCAATGGAAAAGTTTACTAATAAGTTACCTTTAGAATCAATTACAATTAGGTATTGCTAATTACTGAGAGAAATTTTCTACAGTTAGTTCAACCTTATTCTAGACAATCAGAGGCTTAGGTACGAGTTGAGGGTTCGAGAAATGATTACCATGGAATCGCCGTTTTTATGCTTGAAACGAAAGCGAATTCAATCTTAGTGGTGCCATCTTTTGGTTACCTTTTTTTCTCGTAAATTGTGATGAGTTGATTATCAGAATAACAATTGAATTTGTTTAAATGGATTGAAACTCAAAACAAACGAGAAATTTATTCTCAACCAATTGTGTCACAAAATGTAACCTGAAACTATTTTCAAATGCTATCAAATGGTGATCAATGTTTCCAATATTTAATAACTAATTAAACTGTTAGTTGGTTAACAATAAAAGGTAATTAATCTTGATATGATCCATTGGAGTTTTAATTTTTCCTGATTCCTTGTTTAGCTTAATTTGATCAACCAAATGATCAACTTGTTATTTACAAATTGAGAAAATTGTTCATTTATTAATCAACTTGTAAAACTGAACAACAATTAACTTTTTTTCGTAGTGATTTTAATTTTTTTTGAAAGTTCATCAACGACAGCAATTAGTTAAATATGATTAGTGTCAATGATAAACCAATTTACACCAATATCCAAGGTAAATTAACCAATGGTAAAGGTAAATCAATTGATCCATTGGAAATTGGTAACTGTTTAAATGAGTTGAATTTTGTTCAATCGATTGCAATTAACAAGTTATCCTCATCATCACCGTTGAAAATTTACCTTCTAATCAAGGAATCAAATCAAGGAGGTAAACGATTAATTGGTAGATTAGTTAATCAAAAAATTGAATCAAAAGGTTTCAATTATTTGGGTTCTATTGAAATCTATGGATTACCACAGTTTCCACAATTAACCGAATCAAGTTCATCAATTGATTGGAAACAATTTGATCAGTTACAATCTTATCGGTTAACAAATGAATCGGTCACCAAAGGGTCAACATCAAAGATAATCAAAGATATTATCACAAGTTGGTCAATCTATTTGAACATTTCCCCTGATTGTATTGATTGTGATGACAATTTATTCAAACTTGGTGGTAATTTATTTCTAGCTGGACGAATAGGTCATCATTTATATAAATTAAATTATCCGATCACAATTGAGACAATAATTAATAATCCAACGGTTAAAGGATTAGCCCAGGCAATTGAATCATTTAAATCAAATTCTGATCAAATTGATTACCTTAAACCAATTGAACGAGTTAATTGTGATTCAAATAATGATCGTAAATCATTATTATCATGGACTCAACGTTGGGTTTTCATTCATGAGCAATTACTTGGTAAAGGACATTATTATTATCTTGATGTTAGTTATCAGATTGACCCGGAAATTGATTATAAAACAATTGAATCAATTCTTAATCAATTGGTTGATTCGGTTGAATTGTTACGATCTTTTGTTCGTACCCGTGGTTCGGGTAATTATTTGACCATTTCTCCGACTCGAAAGTTGTCCATTCCCGTGATTAAAGTGGCCAATGATAGTGAAGCTCGTGAAAAGATTGATGAGAAAAAGGAAACTCTAAACATCATCACCGGAGATGAGACATTTTTATTTGATGTAATTTTCATTGAGACACCAGAGGTTAATTGTTTCACTCTACTAATTCACCATTTGATTGTTGATGATTGGTCATACCTTTTATTGGAAGAAAAACTTTTCCAATTATTACAATCAATTAAATCACCTAATGTAGATCAACCTATTCTCAAAGTACCTTCAATAGACTATGTTGATTATACCGTTTGGGTAACTCGTGAGGTCCAACGAAAGTCCGAAATTGTTGACCCAATGGAAGAGTATTGGCTTAATCGTCTAAAAGATTTACCTAATTGTTTAATTCCAGTTAATTATGATGAGAATAATTTACCAAAAGAACCTAAAGTATCAGGTAAACATCGTTTAATTAGTTTGACTGACGATGAAACGAATGGAGCTAAATCGTTGGTACGATCAGTTGGAACAACTTTGGACATTTTAGCCGAAGCAGTGATCAAGGTTGCTCTTTATAAACTGACCGGTGTTGGAGATACAATTATCAAGAGGATTATCTCTGCTCGATTACACCCTGTTTCCTATGATATGATTGGTCATTTTAATAATATGATCTATTCACGAACTACGATCAAGCCAAGGGAAACTTTCAGTTCGATTTTACAAAATTTCCATACTACCTGGTTAGAGGATTTTAAGTCTCGTGGTCACTCTTGGATTAACACGGTTGCCCAAACAAACGTTGAACATGTTCATCCAGCGGGTATATCGGTTATTGGCCTACCTGAGCAGCGATTTGTTGATGATGATCGATTACCTGTGAAAATTTTCAAAGTAGATCAATTTACTCAAGTTTCTTTTGAACTGGTTACCTGTATATTTGGTTTACATGAAGGTAAACTTCATTATTGTCTTAATTATAATGAAGATTTACTTTCACCGGAAGTTATTGATACACTGGTTGAAACATTTGAAGTTTTCCTAAGGCGAGTGGTCACTTATTCCGATCGTCCGATTGATGATTATTTTAACATTGAACCAATTCATCAAATCACTCAATGGCCTCAAGAATTGGCAGTTACCAAATAACTTTGATAACAATTTACTAATTAGTTGAGTAGAGTTGATCAACTTTAACAATTGGATAGTACAAATTAATTATATTTTATCGTTACGTTAAATGTTTACAATAATCAATTGTGAAAGTGGTGATTAAGGTATTAAAAGGTAACAAGTAATTAAAATTTTACTATTAATAAAAAGATGAACAAAAAATCAATATTTTTCAATGAAAACTTTAATTTCTGGTTAATTGATACTCTCAAAGGTTCAGTAATCAACAGAAATGAGGAAATATTTATTGAGAATTCGTGTCATTTTAAGGATAAATTGTCGATGATTAGACTGATTTTTCGTAATTTATGCTCAACAATTAGATGTCAATTGGCTGATTTTAACAGTTTTCCATCATATTCAACATTACGTTTGAATGATAACTGTCAACAATTAACTAATCATCATAAAAGGGTCAAATGTATTAGATAGTAAAATAATGGAACCGATTAATATTAATGAAATGATAAACTTATTCTAATAAATTGATCAACCATAAACAGCAATTTAAAGTCAATGTAAAACCTAATTCGTTTCACTCTAACAATAGATGGAGCTATAACTTACAATTAACTAATGGGAAAAGTTTATTCAGCAATTAGATTGAATTTTTTGACACATCAATCTGATAAAGTTGAGCTGCTAATTTAAATTCAATGGGAATGTGAAATGAGGAAAGACAATACTGAATCTCAAAATTTTCCATACACATTTCAGTGCGATGAAGGAGAGAAGAGCTCATTGCTTAACAAGAAACATGGAATGGGAGTTTTAGTGACCATTTTATTCATCGCCGGTGAAAACGCAGGATGTGGTATTCTGGCCTTACCTTACGCCTTTAATCAGGCCGGTTGGTACAGTTTACCGTTAATGATAGTATCTTGTTTTGACGCTGGAATCTGTGGTATCCTAATTGGAAAATGTTGGATGATTCTTGAAGAGAGATGGCCTGAGTTTCGGGAAAATTGTCGTTATCCTTATCCAGCCATTGGTAAAATGGCTTATGGAAATTGGATGAGGTAATTAATTCAGTTTATCAATTGAATTGTTAACCTTGATTGAAGTTTAGTTAACCTTTAATTGTTTACTCTTCCAGAGGTGTTGTAACATTTTGTCTTCAAACATCACTTTTTGGCTCGTCAACAGTATTCCTATTAATTTGTGCTGGATTGATCGAGGAGTTTAGTGGACAATTTATCAAATTGCCATTCAGTGTATGGATATTGATCATTGGTACTATTTTAATTCCTCTCATGTGGCTTGGGTCACCAGGAGAAATGTGGTTCGCTGCCGCTGCTGCTCTTGGTACAACTTTTATTGCAATTACTCTTATTTTAGTTGACATAATGAGTGATTATGCAAAACTGGAAAATCATCCGCCGACATCATCCCCGACAATTGGGACTGTTTCTTTAGCATTTGGAACTTTTATATTCTCATTTGGTGGAACTGCGGCTTTGCCGACCTTCCAAAACGACATGAGAGATAAATCTAAATTTACTCATTCAGTTGTCATTGGATTCTTGAGTAAGTTCAATGTCCAATTCGTGTTCTTTTCGATATTTTTCAACTATTGACAACTTTCATTCTAATATTTCAGCTCTTCTTACACTTTATATTCCGATTGCAATCATGGGATATATTACCTATGGTTTAGGTGTTAAGGATAATATAATTTCATCGATTCCAAATGGAATCAAGAAAGATACAGCTATCCTTTTATTTTCTGTTCATCTCATATTTGCTTTCATTATCGTAATAAACGGAGCTGTGCAAGAGATTGAAGGAAAGTTCGGAGTACCCGACTGTTAGTAACCTTAAGCTATTTGAATCAATCATCGTAATAATATTTGTCCTCTTTTTCCGATTGTAGCTTTTGGTTGGAAACGAGTTTCTATCCGAACTGTTTGTATGATCTTCGTCATTTTTATCGGTGAATCAATTCCTAGATTCGGGAAAATTCTTGACCTAATGGGAGGATCAGCGGTAACCATGTTAGCTTATATTTTACCTCCTCTTTTCTACATGAAATTGTGTTCAATGCATAACGAATCTTGGCCTGAAAGGTAAGTTCATTCGCAAATCGAAAATTAAACAAACAATATTGTCACCAATTGAATAAAAAAATCTAATCATACTTATTTGTTTTCTTCACCCAAACACCCAAAACAAAAGGAAAGTGACAATTCTCGAAAAGATTTATTATTATAAGATTATAATCGTCGGAGTAGTTGGTGGAATCTCTTGTACTTTTTGGGCTTTAAAAGCAATTCTGGCTCCTGGTGCATTCTCATTGCCATGTTACATTGATATTCATTGTTCAAATGAATGAAGGAAATAACAAAAACTCATCTTTGATTCTCTGGATTTATATAATTTATAAAAAGGCAATGCTAATTTCCGTCCATTAATCATACCACAAGTACTACATATAAGTGTAAAAAGTAACTTTCATTAACTTGTATTAACAATTATAGTTGTTATCACTTGTTGATTGTTTTTGTTAAGTGTAATTCAAAACATTTGAGAACATTGTACTTGTACTGTTACCATTATGGATGAAATTTTTTGTTATGTAAAAAAATTTTTCTATTGATTAGAATCAATTAGGATATGCAATCAATTCTGTTTCAAAATTGAAATTGATTATTAAATCAAGTGCTGTAATTACACGTGCTAGTTCATCAGTCGGACTAAACTTTGGATATTTGGACGTTTTTTTTGATTACGTTTATCGATTTATCTGTTATGGTTAATTAACGTAGTTATAAACTCATTAACCAATTTGATTTTTTCATCTCCATCTGCTGTTAATCTAAAACAATTAACTGATTAAATGATGAGTTGTTATCGATGAAATTCATTTATAAAAATCACGAATGAACAAGTTAATCATTAATAGTTATATTGAATACACACAAAATTAACTCAAATAGTTAAAATAATTCTCAACATCCATAACTTTGAAAAGTTAATTGTGAAAGTTTAATTTTGTTGGTGTGACAATTTAATTTTACCCAATACTTAACAGTTTCATCAATCAGTTAACAATTTACATGTAACTTTTTTAATTGTTTTTCATACTCTTATAACTGACAAATTTTCTTCTGCCTCAAATATACCATATCCAACATAGAGTTTATGTCATAATTTTCAACAATTAAATAATCAAAATGGTAAAAAGATTCAGTGAAATTAAATCAAAAGGAGATGAGCCAATTGTGGATGTTAATCAAACGGTAAATATTTAATAGAATCCAATCAGTGATAACTTTTAAGATTGTTCGATAGACAGTTTTCATTGATTGAAAAAAGCAATTGCTTGTCATAGAACGGCAAAGTGAAAAAAGAAACGGGATTGTCAAGATAATCAACGGATCTTAATTAACTATGGATTTGATTGTTGTACTTTATATACAGCAAGTAAAACTCTTCTTGTACACAAAGTCTGACTTGTCCAGTTGGGGTAATTCCTGATTAGGCAAGTCCGTTTTGCAGGATCGAATCCCAATTGATCTATTGTAATTTTTCTTCGTGTTTTTGCCTCAATTGACTGTTTTTAGTTCTCCGATGGGGAAACAGGCTCATTAATCAATAAGAAACATGGAATGGGAGTTTTAGTGACCATTTTATTCATCGCCGGTGAAAACGCAGGATGTGGTATATTGGCCTTACCTTACGCCTTTGATCAGGCTGGTTGGTACAGTTTACCGTTACTGATAATGTGTTGTCTTGACGCTGGAATCTGTGGTATCCTAATTGGTAAATGTTGGTTGATTCTTGAAGAGAGATGGCCTGAGTTTCGGGAAAATTGTCGTTATCCTTATCCAGCCATTGGTAAAATGGCTTATGGAGATTGGATGAGGTAATTAATTCACTTTAAAGATTTTATTTATATCGGTATTGATTTTGAGTACTTAATTTTCAGAGGCGTTGTAACTTTCTGTGTTCAAACTTGCCTTTTTGGCGCATCAACAGTGTTTCTATTGATTTGTGCTGAATTAGTCTCACAATTTAGTGGACAATTTTTTAAATTGCCATTCAGTGCTTGGATATTAATCATTGGTACTATTTTAATTCCTCTCATGTGGCTTGGGTCACCAGGAGAAATGTGGTTCGCTGCCGCTGCTGCTCTTGGTACAACTTCAATTGCAGTGACTCTTATATTAGTTGATGTTACAAGTGATTATGTTAAACTGAAAATCATCCACCGACATCACCACCGACAATCGAGGCTATTTCGTTAGCTTTTGGTACTTTTATATTCTCTTTCGGTGGAACTGCAGCTTTTCCGACTTTTCAAAACGACATGAGAGATAAATCTAAATTTACTCGTTCAGTTGTCATCGGATTTTCGAGTGAGTTTCTTTTAATGTCCATTACATATTCTCTGTCTTTATCGAGATCTCTCAGTTTACTGATGTTGTTTTTATCCATAGCTCTTCTTGCGTTGTATATTCCAATTGCGATCATGGGATTCATCACCTACGGTTTGGGTGTTAAGAATAATATAATTGCATCAATTCCTAATGGATTCAAGAAAGATACAGCTATTCTTTTATTATCCGGTCATCTTATCTTTGCCTTCATAATCGTTATAAACGGAGCTGTTCAAGAGATCGAAGGAAAACTCAAAGTACCAAATTGTATGTAACCTTGAATTGTGATTTACTTTCATCCCTTTATAATATACCGTTTTTTCAATCTTAGCTTTCGGCTGGAAACGAGTTATTGTCCGAACTGTTTGTATGATCTTCGTCATGTTTATCGGTGAATCAATTCCTAGATTCGGAAAAATTCTTGACCTAATGGGAGGATCAGCGGTAACCATGTTAGCTTATATTTTACCTCCTCTTTTCTACATGAAATTGTGTGCAATGCATAACGAATCTTGGCCTGAAAGGTAAGTTCATTCACAAATAGAAAATTAAACAAACAATATTGTCACCAATTGAGTCAATAATCTAATCATACTTATTTGTTTTTTTCACCCAAACATCCAAAACAAAAGGAAAGTGACAATTCTCGAAAAGATTTATTATTATAAGATTATAATCGTCGGAGTAGTTGGTGGAATCTCTTGCACTTTTTGGGCTTTAAAAGCAATTCTGGCTCCTGGTGCATTCTCATTGCCATGTTACATTGATATTCATTGTTCAAATGAATGAAGGAAATAACAAAAACTCATCTTTGATTCTCTAGATTTATACATAATTTATAAAAAGGCAATGCTAATTTGAGGTCATCAATCATACCACAAGTACTCACATATAAGTGTAAAAAGTAACTTTCAAGAGTAAAACGCTTCTTGATTAATGTTAATAAATCATCGTCGTCTAATCATCAAATGTATTCGAAATTGAAATTCATGATAACTTGTTGAGATAATCAACTATGGAATTGATTGCAATACTTTATATTAGTGATGTTTCGATCCGATTTATGCATTTAAATCAATTGCGATCGATTGTTGGAGCAGAGAAATCGATCGATCTCACCTTTTGACAAATCGATCTGCAAAAACATGTGACTTTAGGCCAAAAATATAAAGTTTATATACAGCAACTAAACCTCTCCTTGTACACAAAGTCCGACTTGGCTAGTTGGGGTAATTCCTGACTAGTCCAAGTCCCTTTTGCAGGATCGAATCCCAATTGATCAACTTTTTTTTTCTTCGCATTTTTGTCTCAATTGATTGTTATTCGAGCAAAAATTTATGATCAACTAAATCACTGAGGTTGATTCACTTAATTAAGTTTATTTTAAATGTAAATTTATTCTTGATAAATTGATCATAAATCTACAATTCAAACTATTGAAAAAACAAACTTATCAATATTTTTCTCGCCCAGACACTAGATGGAGCAGTTAACTTACAATTAACTAATGGAAAAGTTTAATCATCAACATTGAAATTAAATTTTTGACAATTATGGTTGATTCTTTTCAAGTATAAACTGTAACAATTAAGGTACAATAATTGTTTATGATCATAAGTTTAATCAAGTTCAATTGTATAAAAAAAGTTTTGATAAAATTTTCATATCGATAACAATTAAAAGTAATTCAGTTATCACAACCATCAGCATTGTTTTCATAATAAATCAATTGAAACAATAACAACTTCAATCAGTTTATCGGTTGATTAACGTAATTATAAATTCATTAACCAATTCGATTTTTTCATCTCCATCTGATGTTAATCGGGTAAAAATTGTTCCCACCGGAAGTAAATGATGCACCCGGAAGATACTTCCACCCACCGGTAGAAGTTTCCACCGGAAGATGGAGAAACTTCAGGATCGGGGTGCATCATCCGTCTTTTTCACTACTGTAGTTGGTTCGTGCTAAAAATTAGCGAATGAACAAGTTAATCATTAATAGTTATATTGAATACACACAAAATTAACTCAAATAGTTAAAATAATTCTCAACATCCATAACTTTGAAAAGTTAATTGTGAAAGTTTAATTTTGTTGGTGTGACAATTTAATTTTACCCAATACTTAACAGTTTCATCAATCAGTTAACAATTTACATGTAACTTTTTTAATTGTTTTTCATACTCTTATAACTGACAAATTTTCTTCTGCCTCAAATATACCATATCCAACATAGAGTTTATGTCATAATTTTCAACAATTAAATAATCAAAATGGTAAAAAGATTCAGTGAAATTAAATCAAAAGGAGATGAGCCAATTGTGGATGTTAATCAAACGGTAAATATTTAATAAAATCCAATCACTGATAACTTTTAAGATTGTTTAATACACAAAAAGTAAAAAACAATCGCTTGGTATAGAAAACGAAATTGTTAAGATGATCAACTGATCTTAATTAACTATAGAATTGATTGTTATACTTTATATACAGCAATTAATACCTTCATTGTACACATAGTCTGACTTGTCTAGTTGTGGTAATTCCAGTTGATCGATTGTAATTTTTCTTCGTGTTTTTGTCTCAATTGATTGTTTTTAGTTCTTCGATGGTGAAACGGACTCAGTGGCCAATAAGAAACATGGAATGGGAGTTTTAGTGACCATTTTACTCATCGCCGGTGAAAACGCAGGATGTGGTATATTGGCCTTACCTTACGCCTTTGATCAGGCTGGTTGGTACAGTTTACCGTTACTGATAATGTGTTGTCTTGACGCTGGAATCTGTGGTATCCTAATTGGAAAATGTTGGATGATTCTTGAAGAGAGATGGCCTGAGTTTCGGGAAAATTGTCGTTATCCTTATCCAGCCATTGGTAAAATGGCTTGAGTCAATTGCAGTGACTCTTATATTAGTTGATGTTACAAGTGATTATGTTAAACTGGAAAATCATCCACCGACATCACCACCGACAATCGAGGCTATTTCGTTAGCTTTTGGTACTTTTATATTCTCTTTCGGTGGAACTGCAGCTTTTCCGACTTTTCAAAACGACATGAGAGATAAATCTAAATTTACTCGTTCAGTTGTCATCGGATTTTCGAGTGAGTTTCTTTTAATGTCCATTACATATTCTCTGTCTTTATCGAGATCTCTCTGTTTACTGATGTTGCTTTTTATCCATAGCTCTTCTTGCGTTGTATATTCCAATTGCGATCATGGGATTCATCACCTACGGTTTGGGTGTTAAGAATAATATAATTTTATCGATTCCAAATGGAGTCAAGAAAGATACAGCTATTCTTTTATTATCTGGTCACCTTTTCTTTGCCTTCATAATCGTTATAAACGGAGCTGTTCAAGAGATCGAAGGAAAATTCAAAGTACCAAATTGTATGTAACCTTGAATCGTAAATTTATTTCTTTGTGATATTTTTCAACGATAATCTTATAAATACTTTTCATTTCATTTAAATTGTAGCTTTCGGTTGGAAACGAGTTATTGTTCGAACTGCTTGTATGACCTTCGTCATGTTTATCGGTGAAACAATTCCTAGATTCGGGAAAATTCTTGACCTAATGGGAGGATCAGCGGTCACAATGTTAGCTTATATTTTACCTCCTCTTTTCTACATGAAATTGTGTTCAATGCATAACGAATCTTGGCCTGAAAGGTAAGTTCATTCACAAATAGAAAGTTAAAGAAACAATAATGTCACTAATTGAGTCAACAATCTAATGATACTCACTTGTTTTCTTCACCCAAACACTCAAAACAAAAGGAAAGTGACAATTCTCGAAAAGATTTATTATTATAAGATTATAATCGTCGGAGTAGTTGGTGGAATCTCTTGTACTTTTTGGGCTTTAAAAGCAATTCTGGCTCCTGGTGCATTCTCATTACCATGTTACATTGATATTCATTGTTCAAATGAATGAAGGAAATAACAAAATCTCATCTTTGATTCTCTAGATTTATATATAATAATACCCGATTTATAAAAAGGCAATGCTAATTCGAGGTCATCAATCATACGACAAGTACTCACATATAAGTGTAAAAAGTCTAAAGTAAAGTAAAAATGCTTCTTGATTATTGTTACTAAATCATCATCTTCTAATCATCAAATGTATCCGAAAGATTTCACAGGTAACAGAATGAAAAATTGAACAACTTATGGAATTGCAATACTTTTATATTTGAGACGGTCCGATCCGATTTATGCATTTAAATCGATTGCGATCGATTTTTGGCACAAAGAAATCGATCGATCTGCAAAAACATGTGACTTTAGGCCAAAAATATAAAGTTTATATACAGCAACTAAACCTCTCCTTGTACACAAAGTCCGACTTGGCTAGTTGGGGTAATTCCTGACTAGTCCAAGTCCCTTTTGCAGGATCGAATCCCAATTGATCAACTTTTTTTTTTCTTCGCATTTTTGTCTCAATTGATTGTTATTCGAGAAAAATTTATGATCAACTAAATCACTGAGGTTGATTCACTTAATTAAGTTTATTTTAAATGTAAATTTATTCTTGATAAATTGTCCAAAAATCTATTACACTAAATCTAATACAATTCAAACTATTGAAAAAACAAACTTATCAATATTTTTCTCGCCCAGACACTAGATGGAGCAGTTAACTTACAATTAACTAATGAAAAAGTTTAATCATCAACATTGAAATTAAACTTTTGACAATTATGGTTGATTCTTTTCAAGTATAAACTGTAACAATTAAGGTACAATAATTGTTTATGATCCTAAGTTTAATCAAGTTCAATTGTATAAAAAAAGTTTTGATAAAATTTTCATATCGATAACAATTATTAATTAAATTAAAACAATTGTAATGGTGATTATAAAAGATGAAAATTAAACAATTAAACAATGATTAAATCATTCAATGTAATTAACAAGGTGATTAACATGAGGGATAAGGGTTTCAACAATTAAATTAAACTTTGGTTAATTTTTTTGTTGATCAATTTTGTTTCTAATCACAATCAATCTACCTGGTATGGTTAATTAACATTAACATAATTATGATCATGATTACAATTATCTCCTCCCATTTAATTTGCTGGTGTTCATTTGACGTTAATCTACAACAATTAACTGTTACGATGATAAATTGTCAACTGATTTATCAAACTCATGGTTATCACAATTTATGGTGAATAGTAAAAAAAAATTCAAGAGTTAGTTAGTTAGTTAATCATTTACAGTTGAAGTTACAACAATTAAACTTTAATTGTTTGAATGTTTACTATTAGAGAAGAGGAATTGATCATAATTTAATTAAATTGTCCATGGATTAAATTTACATTCAAAGTGAGTGAATATGAACCTTGATTGAGTCAAATGTGAAATCGTTAATTGTTCAAGTTAATTTTATTTATTTTCCACTCAAAAATCAATAATAATTTTCAATATCTTTCCTTTTTGGTGTGACAATTAAAAGTAATTCAGTTATCATAATCATCAGCATTGTTTTCATAATAAATCAATTGAAATAATAACAACATCTTCAATCAATATACTGACAATCAATTGCAACTATTTTTAATTGTTACCCTTTTAATTGTAATATATTTTTTTTTTCATCTCATCTTAATCACCATTGAGTTTTACTTGTAATTATCAGCAATTAGTTAATCAATTATGGCAAGAGGATCAAATGGATTGAAATCTAATGGAACCGAATCAAGAGTTAATCTTAGTCAAATGGTAAGTAACAATCAGTAAATTGTTTCAAATTTTGAGTTGGAAAAATTAACCGGCAATGAGAGGAGTTAATCAATAAACCACAATGGAATCATATGGAAATCAACTAATTGTAATTAAATCATCAAAGATCTCAAATGATATCTGTCAACATTGGGTAACAATCAATAATGAAGATCAAGTTAATTGTCAATTAAGACAATCAATCGGGTTAATAACACCTTTACAATGATAATGATTAAGATACTGTTATATCATTAACCATTGTTTGGTAACAATTAGTTGATCACAATTGATTAACCATTACAATTAACTGAATCATATTGTATTGGTGGGTTTTCCTAATAATTTCAATCAAATACTTGATTGAAAATCAATTCAAACAAGTGACTCAATTAACTAATTACTGGTCTTTATTCAGATTGTATTAGTTAATTGTTAATTGAAAATTGTTCAGCCTTAGTCATAATCCAATTACAATTGAATCTGATAACATTAGCTAATTAATAATTAATAATTTCTCCATCATTGATTGAACTTGAAATTATCACATGAACATTAAATTGAAACTATTGTAATTTTATTATTATCACATTGATTAGCACAACAATTTATCAATCAAATTGCTAGACAGTTAATTTCATAACCATAATTTCAATTATCATGATGAAATTAAACTTTACAGCGGGAAAAAAGAGAGACGATTAACTAATTGTAACAATTTAGTATTACAATTAAACTGTAACACTTGAAAATCAATTAGTATTGTCAAGTAATTTAAATGAGCCCAAATGATTAAATAACAAGTTTAAGTGTATCAATTAATCAGCAAAAGTTAAAACAGCAATTAGATTATAATCATTAAGCACTAGGATTGATTAAATTAATTATTATTATTATGATTGTTGTTGATTAATCATCTTCACCTTTACGTGCAATTGATAATTCAACTAATTAATTGTTATCATTATGAGTTGAAATATAGATCAATATCAAAAATCTTGACTAATCATGATTAGAATACTTAATTGTCTTTGATTTATCAATTAATATAACGTAGTAATTTGAATTACAATTAGCTAATTGTAATCTCTAAATTCAGTCATTGATTAAATATTATAACCATGTAATTAGGACAATGAAACTTTTCCCAATTAATATTGATCAACTAATTATAATTGGGAAAAAACCAGACAAAATATATAAATACAACAATTAAATTGTTACAATTTATCATTGATTTAGTTGTTGATTGAACTAAATTATATTATCTCGTTGATCATCAATATTAATTATCAACTTGAATCAAAGGTAGTATTAATTGCTGACGAGTTAATCATAACTGACCAACCTAATTGTAAACAATTAGTTCACAATCTAAAAGTTTATCATTATTGATGATTATTAAATTGCTGAGATTTACAATTTACTGATTATCAGACAATTAACTCAATTGATTTACTTTTGATGCTATGAAATCAATAGGATTAACTTTTGATTGTCGCAATTGATTTGATTTTGTCTCACCTTGTTAACACATACTTGACAAATTTGATTACGAAGCAATTAAATTTAACAGTTAATCATTAATTATATGTGAAACAAAATACAAGTAAATTAAGTGCCTAAACAATTAACTGATTGCTCAATCAACCAACGATGAGGATAACTTGGTATGTAAAACAATTAACAAAATGTTTAATTAGTCAAGTGATCAAGTCTGAGAAAATGAAAATTAACAATTATCCAAATCGGGATAAGGTAATTAGTTAATTACCGAAAATAATCCCATGAATGATTATTTCAGATAGTCCAATCAATTAACTATTATCATCACTAAAGATTTTAATCAAAAAAGTTAAATTATTCATTTCAAGTTAATCAGCAATCAGTCAATTAATTAACATGATATAAGTTTTATCTGCAATTAATTTCCTGATGATCAACTCCCCGTGATTAAAAAAAAAATTATGTAACAATTAAATACACAGACACATACAAGTTTAATCAATAAGATGATGAAGATGAGTATAAACAAACAATTAGAGTTAATCAACAATCAAAGGGCTACCTTGATTAGTTCACATTTGTAATTGTCTTTAATCAAAGTAAACATTTCAAACAATCAAATCACTTAAACGGTTGAAGTTTTTTCTTTGTCTTCAAAAAGGCAACAATCAACATTTAATTGTGATTCGTTAAATTTGATTAACCTTTAATTTTCACCTTTACACTTAACTTGCTTGTTTAATTTACATCATCTCTTCATTTACTCCAATTGATTGTATTATGTTAAACACGTTCAACAATTAACCCGCGTGTTTACATTAAAATAGAGCGGAAGAGTTTAATCATCTTGTTGATCTAATTTTAATTTAAATTGTGATATTTGTTCATCTAAATTGTGGCTTATTTGAAGAGGAAATTAGAACAAGAAAAAGACAGAGAAAAAGACTAAATTATGAGAGAAATTAATTCTAACGGTAAAATAAGTGTTACAAACGGCTCTAAATCGTTGAAATCTTTTCCTCATACATTTCAGTACGACGATGGTGAAACGGGCTCAGTGGTCAATAAGAAACATGGAATGGGAGTTTTAGTGACCATTTTATTCATCGCCGGTGAAAACGCAGGATGTGGTATTCTGGCCTTACCTTATGCCTTTGATCAGGCCGGTTGGTACAGTTTACCGTTACTGATAATGTGTTGTCTTGATGCTGGAATCTGTGGTATCTTAATTGGAAAATGTTGGATGATTCTTGAAGAGAGATGGCCTGAGTTTCGGGAAAATTGTCGTTATCCTTATCCAGCCATTGGTAAAATGGCTTACGGAGATTGGATGAGGTAATTAACTTTGATTATTGATTAAATTGTTAACCTTGATTGTAGCTGATTTAACCTTGAGTTTTTACTTTTCCAGAGGCGTTGTAACATTTTGCCTTCAAGTATCACTTTTGGCGCGGCAACGGTTATCCTTTTAATTTGTGCTGAATTAGTCTCACAATTTAGTGGACAATTTATTAAATTGCCATTCAGTGCTTGGATATTAATCATTGGTACTATTTTAATTCCTCTTATGTGGCTTGGGTCACCAGGAGAAATGTGGTTCGCTGCCGCTGCTGCTCTTGGTACAACGTCGATTGCAGTGACTCTTATATTAGTTGATGTTACAAGTGATTATGTTAAACTGGAAAATCATCCACCGACATCAGCGCCGACAATTGGGGCTATTTCTTTAGCTTTTGGTACTTTTATATTCTCTTTCGGTGGAACTGCAGCTTTTCCGACTTTCCAAAACGACATGAGAGATAAATCTAAATTTACTCGCTCAGTTGTCATCGGATTTTCGAGTGAGTTTCTTTTAATGTCCATTACATATTCTCTGTCTTTATCGAGATCTCTCAGTTTACTGATGTTGTTTTTATCCATAGCTCTTCTCGCATTGTATATTCCAATTGCGATCATGGGATTCATCACCTACGGTTTGGGTGTTAAGAATAATATAATTTTATCGATTCCGAATGGAGTCAAGAAAGATACAGCTATTCTTTTATTATCTGGTCACCTTTTCTTTGCCTTCATAATCGTTATAAACGGAGCTGTTCAAGAGATCGAAGGAAAATTCAAAGTACCAAATTGTATGTAACTTTGAATCGTACATGTAAATTTACTTCTATGTGATATTTTTCAACGATAATCTTATAAATACTTTTCATTTCATTTAAATTGTAGCTTTCGGCTGGAAACGAGTTATTGTTCGAACTGCTTGTATGATCTTCGTCATGTTTATCGGTGAAACAATTCCTAGATTCGGGAAAATTCTTGACCTAATGGGAGGATCAGCAGTAACCATGTTAGCTTATATTTTACCTCCTATTTTCTACATGAAATTGTGTTCAATGCATAACGAATCTTGGCCTGAAAGGTAAGTTCATTCACAAATAGAAAGTTAAAGTAACAATAATGTCACCAATTGAGTAAATAATCTAATCATACTTATTTGTTTTTTTCACCCAAAACAAAAGGAAAGTGACAATTCTCGAAAAGATTTATTATTATAAGATTATAATCGTCGGAGTAGTTGGTGGAATCTCTTGTACTTTTTGGGCTTTAAAAGCAATTCTGGCTCCTGGTGCATTCTCATTGCCATGTTACATTGATATTCATTGTTCAAATGAATGAAGGAAATAACAAAATCTCATCTCTCTAAACATATCTCTCTGTCTCAATCCAAGTTATTCATTAATATAACTTGTAGATTGATGATGAACAATCAATTATTAACTTAAAGATTAGAATATGTATAATTTTATAATCTTTTATATATTATTTTTCCAATCCTTTTAAACCCATTTCCTTTTCCTGTTTTCCTCTCCATTCCCAAATCCTTTTCTTTTTGCTTCCAATTATTTACATCTAGATACCAATTTTTCTCAACCAACCATTACAATTATATCCAATTTAATATCCAAAACAATTGATTATTTTGGAGAAATGAGCAATCAAATTTAATATTTACGAAAAGAAACAAAAAATTAAATTAATATTTACAAATTTACATAGAAAAATATTGAATTTTCTTGGTGTAATTACTGTTGATTTTCTGGGTTTTCTGGTTTAATTTGATTTCCTGGTTGAAACTGGGAAATTATCGGGTTTCTGATTGTTGCTGGTTAATTGTAGATTATGTTTGGGTGATAATTTATTCCTCTAGATGATCTGTTGATAATATATTAATTGTTTCCCACAATCACAATAACCTTGTTCTTCTCGTCTAATTGTTTCATGATTTTAAAGCTTGCAGATCACATGAAACAGAAAACATTACCATGAATATGATCATGATTATGATAAAATTTTCAATTAACCTGAGAAAATTTATCTTAGATAATCAATTACATTGGATGAAAGTTTTCACCTTATTCATTGAACCTAATCAACAGTTTTTCACCCAAATTATTTGCTACTTATCACTTTAAGGTCTATGCCTGAGGAAATATTACCTAATACATAACATTTGACCGATAAATGTTAAATTTTTCGCCAAAATTGAGCAAAAATGATCAATTTTAACGATGAAAGTTTGTAGAGATCGAAATGAATCTAATTAAACGAAACAAATTTACCGCGAATATGAAAATTAAACAAAAACCCAACAAGTAACAAAAGAAATCAAGAGATGTCACCAGAAGATTGTTGAATGAATTGAAATTCATTCTCATGTTTATCACCTTTGGAATTGGTTGTAATTTAGATACGACAATTAACAGTTGACGACAGTGTGCAAAAAGAGTTTAGTTGTATTAATCATTTTGGTTGGTCGATTCTGTATTTTTCTTGAGAGAAAAAAATTTGATCAATCGGGATTCGATTTTGTAAAAGGGACTTGACCAGTTGAGAGTTAACCTAACTAGCCAAGTCGATCTTGTGTATATTGAATGAAGTAATCGTTGTATATATAAATTCTGGTTCTGTAATCAATTAGCGCCATTTGAATAATGGGAAAAGTTAATTGTTCATAATATTAATGAAAAACGTAATTTCGAAAATGGTTCTAACAAAAGTCGTAAGAAATAATCGAGAAACTTTCAGGTAATAAAAAAGTTCTCAAGTCACTTTTTCTCTGATCATGTTCAGTGAGTTTATCTTTTATTGCACAGAATTTATTCAGTTACTACTGATGAACTAATAGATGGCAGTGGGAATTTTTTTATCTCCATGAAAATCTTCAAATCCACCGGACTCACATCTTCATGTTTATCATCTCTCCCTCTCACATCATCATCATCGTCATCCACCCCACTCAATTACAACTATTCTATACCCAGAACTTTCATATTTGTTCAGTTGAACGTTTAACTTTCAAGTATGAGTTTGAAAAGTTTTCCAATCATCGAATCCCAATTATAACCATCATTAAGTATCAAAGACAATTAACATTCATCATTAGCAGTTACTCATTAAAATCTTAAATTGTTTCAAAACTTTGTCTGAAAACTGTCAAAATTTTACTAAAATAATCAACATTCATTATCAGAAATCCTCATAATCACATCGATCAGATCAATTAATCATCATCACCATTATTAATTATCATTATCATCTACCTTGTGGATTAAATTAAAATTAGTAAAAAAAAAATCTTCAATAACTTGATTAAGTTTTAAAACTCCAATAATAATCATCAATCTCAAACATTAAATGTTACTCATCTTAATTGTTTCCAATATAAGATTGTTGTTTACGAAAACAACAATCACAATTAAATAAATAATCCTGGAGACCATTGGTAATATCAAACTGGACACAGTGATGGTTGATGAATTAGAAAGTGATACAAGTGCATCAACAGATGATTCCGTTAATTTTAATGAATTTAATCCGGAAAAATGGTTAAGATATTCATCATCAGTATCATTATTATATTGTCTCGCTTATACCATAGTGTTTATATTGGGAATCGTGGGTAATAGTGCCGTTGTTGCCGTCGTTTTCAGGTCACCACGAATGAGAACGGTAACTAATTATTTCATTGTTAATCTCGCATTGGCCGATATACTTGTATTATTATTTTGCCTTCCACCCACTTTAATTGGACATCTTTTCATCCGTAAGTATAACCAGATAATCAACTAATTAAATCAATAACCTATCCAACACCCAATCAACTTAAATTGTCAACAGAAACAACAATTAACAATTAGGTAAAAACCTTTTTTTTTCCCAATTGATTTATGATCATCTTATTATCAATTAATAGTTTACTTGTATATTGATGATTTTACCTTGAAAATGAGTAATGATTGGTTAGTTTAACAACTAATTAACTTTATATCAAGTTAACAATTAGCAATTAAGTTAATTATTATATTGATTGTATAACAAGTGAATTTCAAACTGTTTTCCTTTATAATATTATCGATATATTTTTGATTAGAACAGTTTGAAAACTTTTTCGTTTTCTTTCAAGGTTCTTGAGCAAAGTTTTCACCAAGTTCGAGAAAATAAAAGTTACAACTTTGTTGTTTTCTTGTTCATTCAATAAATAATATCAATGTTTCAGATTCCAATGGAATCTATTTCTGAATCATTAATATTATTCTGATGATGATGGGTACAAATGTTTACCAGAACTTTCATCATTATCGTTACCATGTTAACATCAGAACTTTTTTTTTTCATTGAGTTTCCATAGATATTGAAATGATCAGTATCATCATTCTGCCTTTTATCATCATCATCATCATCATCTTATACTATTTATACCCGGAAATGTAAATGACACTTCTAATGAATCAAAGTGAATCAAGATGATGATCAACATACTTACAGTCACAAACCTAATTAGTGATTAACAAAACTGAATGTGTATATGTTTCAATTTCAATTTCAATAATAATAGGAGTTTTATCATGTTGATTGATCAACTGACCAGTAGTGGACAGTTAAGTGTACTTACTAATACAGATAATAAAAGTAAATATTAATAACTGGATTCAAGTTGAATGAGAAAAAGTTTTCATACAGAAAATAATATTCATTGTATATCTTTTCCAACATCTAGAATTGAAACTGAATCGATATATAAATTGTAACTATTTACTAAATTATCATAATAAATCATCATCAACAATTTACTTCTTCATGTCATCAAATAATCTTGATTATTATTATTATTAAATGATAATGATTAAGCGATCAGAATGATTAGTTGATTACAATTTCACATTTAGATTTACCCTGAATCTTGGTTATTTTGATTGGAGAAAGAGGAAGAAAAAAAAAATTAACTTAATCAACAATCAGTTAATCACATAGACATTGAAAGTGGGAGTAACAACAACAATAATAATAATCATAATCATGGTCATTCATGATTAGTATTAATCATGAATGAGTTAACAGTTGAAAAACAATAAGGAAGTGGAAATACAATAAGTTAGTATCATGAAGATCATGTTGTTGTTGTCATCGTTGTTGTTGTTGTTGATAATGATGATGAAGATAATGATGATAACTTAGTTAGATATTTTTTTTTCTTAGATAAGTAAAGAGTATCAAGAAATCAGAGATGACAAGTTGCTCATGGAAATGATTCAGAAATTGAAGATAACATGAGAATGATAAGATATTATTCACCAAAGGGGTTTAATCATAATCCTGACTGGACTGGTCAATCCAATGGACTGACCTCATTCTCATCTGATAATAACGGTTTTCCACTTCCATATCCAGAGTCATGATAATAATATTACTATCCAAATATACTGTTCAAGTTCAGAGTTTTTTCTTCTCATGCTTATCTTAACCCTATGGAATGATAATTTCATGATATAAACAATAATAAGATTTCATCATCAACTAACTGTCTAACCCTCAGTATCTATTAAGGTTTACATACTTACTTTAATACCCTGTAAGTGACTAGTAGAGGGTCCAAAGTATTAATAACTGACCAGTGGTAATGATTATTAGATCTCAGAGCTCTTTTTTTTTGTTTCATCATTTATACTTTGCGACGAACTCATTAATTGTTTTATCTGATTAAAGTTGTTTACTTGACTGAGAGTTTGTGTTTATAAGGATTTCGGTAGGTCAGGGAGTCGGTAGGGTAATAAAATGCTTCCGGAATGATCTGAAAAGTTGACCTAATTTTGGGAAAGTTGGATAAGATTCTTATCGAAAGCACTTTTAGATTTAATGAATTTTGATCGATTGATTTTTTTCCTTTTTTTCTTCTTTTCCTTATTTCCTTTTCCGTAGCCTGGATATTAGGACTTTTCATGTGCAAAGCCGTTTCTTACTTACAGGGAGTGGCCGTAAGTGCCAGTATTAATACCCTTGTGGCCGTTTCTGTGGATAGGTAAGTGTTTCTATTTATAAATCACCTTCGATATTAACTTTATCTCTCGACGAAACTTTTTGTTCTAATGCACTTACATATCGAAATCATCTCTCCCTCTCTCTCTCTCCTTGTTGTAATTGAGTTCCGGGTCTCTCTCTCTCTCTCTGTCTCTTAATTATGATGAACATTATCAAAGAGGATCAGTTTTTTTTATTGATGATCAATGATAACAAACTGAACAAGTTACTTCATCTTGACCAGTGGTCATTATGATGGACAACAGTTAGCCAACAAAAATGAGATATTTAATAACACGTATACTTAACCTACTTTCACGTTGCTTCGGATGGACTAATAACCCAACAATTGTAATGATAATAAACTTTCAATTGTTGTCGTTGATTTGATACCATCTGATTGTAACAATTAAGTGTGTCAATCGGGGTTTCATCAAAGCTATCGAAAGGTCCAAGGACTTGGACATTGAATCAAATTGATTATGATATTGATGATGATTATGATGATACATTAGCAATAATGATCACGATAATAATAATAAAAAAACAAAGTCTAATCTTGATTAACTCTAATCCATTGATTACCCTGTTGGTCATTTTCACTATTAACCCTATTAATATGGTGACCATTGATTATGGTTAAAGTTAATGACAATCAAGGGATCACTGGATAAACCAAAGTCTCATTGACCAGAGTAACAAAAAAATTATTTTTTTCTCGTTTTCATGATTAATCTTAATTGTTGTCGATTTATATTATAACTTATTGCCTATGATTAAATTACTTTCCTATTTTTTTCCCATGTCTTCCTGTTATCGGATATAATTATAATCACAATTCATTGATTGTCCATCGTGATTTAATGTCCACTCTATGATTCTGTTAACTGTCAATCAACTGATTATCCATTTGTAATATTGTTAACAACTGACCTACGATGACAATACATTAGGTTTAATCAATGATTTAATCAGTTTGATTACTGGTTAATTATGTTCATTGATTATCTGATGAGCAGGCAAAAAAAACGTTTCCACTAATTAAATCATTGATCAAGTTGTTAAAACTTTTGACCATTGGTCATTTTAGTGTCATTGTCTGTTGGCTTATTGTTATTGATTCAATGAATTACTGTTGTCCAGTCAATTGACCACTACAATTTTCATCAGAAAAGTCAGTTATTTAATTACCTTGACCAATGGAAAGTTAATAATAAAAAAACTCAACTGTTGACGATAATAATTGACAGGGAATGACCATCGACACCATGATTGGACTTGATTCTAACCTCTGGTCAGTCCAAAGTTTCAAATTTATCCATTGAACTGTTAATCGTTTCAACTTATAGTAACATTAAAGATTCATATGAATTTCTCAAAGCTTGAGGTTGAAATTCATGGTGAACTTTCACCTTGAATCAGTTACAATAAACAACTTGAGATGAACAATGAGCTATGAATAAAAGAGAGAGAAAAATATTCAAATTCTGAGGAAAATTGGAATATGAATGCCTAAGAACTTTCCGAAAACTCGAAAATAATTTTAAAAAAGAAATAAAATTGAAAAGCTCTGACGAAATAGGAAATTCAAGTGAAAAAAATCATCTTCAAGATTATAATCATGGTAATGATGATAATCATCATCATGAAATAATATTTGCGGTTCAATTGAATAGAAAACTATTTTTAAGAGTTTCGATTTGAAACTTTTATTATAATAATAAATTTTCAACTTTATCATGAAAGGGTAAGAAGTTGAAACATTATCATGATTGAAATTCTCATGGCAATGAAAAGGGATTCCAACCTATTTTCAGTTACAACGATAATCATTATATGTTTGAATCATATCGATTTCAAGGTAAAATTTTATCTCCAAATTTATTAGTCCAACAACAACAACAACAAGGCAAAAAAATGATCATCATCATGAAAATTGTGGTAATAAAATTGAATTAAGAACTCAATTGTTGATAAAATTCAACTTTTACCTCTCAATGAATGTTAAATGAAATTTCAGATAATTGAAATAATCATGAAACTTAATCATGTTGTTATTTATCCTCATGAAAAGCTGTGTACTTATTGTTCAGAATCAATAATAATCATAATCTATTTGTATGATTATTGTTGTTGATCAACAATCGCAATTGAATTGAAAATTAAACTTGTACCTTGACACAGTTTTCATTTGATTAGCTGGTGATAAAACTTTAATTGCAATGAGACAATTGTTATCAGACTAATCAACGAGTCAATTCTAATAAGTCAGGTAAACATTAGATTTATGATTAATTTTTATCATTCAAATTGTTAATCAATGAGTAAACATTTACATCATCATAATGAATGACAGTTAAAGTCTGATTATTCATCATAATGTTTGAGTGGTTAATTAGTTTTGATTTGTTTCACCATCAAGTTTCATGATTTCCAATGATGAACAATATTGACACAATTATATTAAATTGCAGTTCATGGTGATGTTGACGATGACATTTCCAGGAGATTTTCATCTGAATACAAAGAGACACATATTCACTAAGAGAGAGAGAGAGAGAGATCTCCATGGTGGTGAATCAGACTAGAAAAAATCTCTGGGCATTCAGATTCGGAGATAATATTTATCACTCTTATATTCAGAGCTGAATTTCAAGATAGATATTAAATAATAGGGATCATATTTATGCTCATTTGTTACATTGATGTGATTATTTTTATCACTTTTTGTTCATCTTCATCTTCCGCCTACATTTATGGTTGTTTATCAATGATGATTAAGATTGAAGATGAGGCAAAAAATAGCATAATTCCCAATAGTAAATGGATCAGCATCTCCTTCCCTCCTCTCTCTCTCTCTATGTGATGCGAATTTCTTAATTTCATCATCTTTATTATTAGTCTTAGCATAAGATAATGAACATGTTCAGTTCCATGATAAGTTTCAGTTTCATCAACTTGCCCGATGAATATTATCATCAACTTATGAACAGAATCTCAGAGTCCTGGACAAGTGATTACAGTGTCCAGTAAGATTTTTGTGTTCACATCATTATGATCATCGCAATTAACTTAATCGACATTTTCTTGTTTTTTTTTGTTAATAATCTCAGGTAGAAAGTTTGTTTTATTTTTTTACTCTGGTTGCAAACAGAATTAGATTAACACAATTTACCGTATCGATAATGTTTATCAACCAAGAAGCAAAAAAAAAGCCTCAAGATTAGTAATAATAATCTCTGGGCATCTTATTATTGATTAGTGATAACAACAATTTACTAACATGTAAAGACCCAAATGATTAGATGAACAAATTAAAATCGATAATCATGTTCAGTTGGACCAACGGTTTATCTTATTTTCATCAACAGGTTGTCACGTCAATATAAATATTACATGTTGAGATTTACCATCTAACTGGATAAGCTAATATTCAACTAGTTCCATAGACTCAGAAGTAGATGAAGGTCACCACCACCACCACATCAACACCACAACCTCCACCTCCACCACCATCACCATCAATACCAAAGACCTACTCCTCCGCATCCTCACGAGCTATTTTTACTAATGAACCTGAATTGAAGATGAGGGGATGAAGATGAAGATAAATGTTACTCTAAATAAGGTTGATACTTTTTTTCACATGATAATAATACTCATATGTTTATAAACAACAACTAGATTATCCAACTCCCAATGAGTATTATTAATATCATCCATGAATTTTTGTTTTCTCCCTCATCTTTTTTTTCCAAGGTAAAATCAAGTTCATCATGAGCACACACACACCATGATGATGAACAATCTAATAGTTATTATTATTGTATTAAACTCTATTAATGATGCCAATATGATTCCACATCTAATTGAACAATTAGCTGGATGAATTAATTAGTTAGTTCAATTGGCTTTATATTAATTATGAATGGTTCTCCATTTGAGTTAACATGATAATTAAGACTTTGTGATTGAGATCAAATTGTTCATTTGATTGGAAATTAGAATCTTTTTTTTTCCTGTTCAGGCTCGATATTAATATTATTCAGAATATGAGTATTATTTTGGGATCAAGAATGAAAAAGAGGAAAAATATTAATCTTGAAAATGGAAGATTATTATTTGAGTTAATTCATATTCATGTTATAGTAATAATATCGCTTATTGTCATGAGTATAATAAGAAACATCAGAATTGATTCAGAATCAAGAGTTTATCATGATACAAATACTATTCATGGTAATATTAAGCTTCCATATTAGAATCTCTTAAGTAATTCTAATTCTCTGAAGTCTTTCACTTTCTTTTTTCTTCACAACTTTTCATTCATCATAATCATCATGTTTATCTTTTTTTCTCGTGTATCATGAATTTCCATGAAGCTCTGAACCTTTCCATTGATACCGATTGTCTCTCTCTCTCTCTCTCTCTCTCTCTCTCTCTCTCTCTCTCTCTCTCTCTCTCTGAAATAATGTTCTGTTCATTTGCAAGAGTAACAACATCAGACACAATGAATGATAATTCTCAATATTAATCAGCACCATCATCATGAAATTTCATGGAAACTCAAGCTCTTTGTTGTTATTTTATTTTCGATTCTGGAAAATTTCACTCACTCATCATTATCATCCAGTCTTGATTTTTTCTTCTTCTTCTTCCTTATTTTGTCATCATCATGATTGTTTGTTTACAGAACAAAAAAAATCACCTAAAAGTGTCAAAACCTCAAGATATCATGATGGTGAGAAAACAGTTTCCATGATAAATATAACAAAATGTAGGTCAAATATTTGAATATGAATCTCAAGTATCTTTTATACTTATTGTTGAGAAAAACAAAATTGATGATAAATTTTCATTAAAAATTCAATATAATTTTTTAATAATCAGTTATAAATTATTAACCAATGTAGCATATCAATATAACAATGAGCTGTTGATTGTAATTTGAGTAATTAAATTTAAACATTGATTTGATTGTTGAATCTCAGAATTTCAAAT